ATGAATTACATGGTGCTGGAAGAAGGCATGCATCATGAATTATTAATCACTGCCTGAATGGCAGAAGGTTGAAGGAACAACAAAGAAACTTCTCCAGGTATCCAGCATTACTGGAGAGAACAGATAGAAAACAACCCTGTGAATAGTACCCATTCATAAGAAGAATGAAACATATTATCTAGAGTCTAATATTCAGATGGTGGCACTAAAGGAATCTTTGTAAAACCAAACTTTGGAAGCAGTCTTTAAACACTGTTCTGATAGGTGATGAACTTTAAGATCTGAACTATCCTGAACCACATCCATCTTGGAACAACTGAGACTAGGTTTTAGCAGTGGCCTCTGGAGGGGACAGATGATATACTGCAGACAGCCTCAAGTCATCCTTATTTAACTGTTGGTGAACCTTGGTCAGTGCACAGTTTCTAGGCAAGCTTTGCTCTCCAATCCCTGGGGCATTCACTGAGGCTTCCATTGATGGGTTCAGCTTGCTGGATGAAGAGTTGTATCACACACCCTGGATGCTTGTCCTTCAGGTAGGAGCTTAGCCATTGCTTCTTCTGGGAAGCTTTTTCTTACTGTCACCGGTTCTCCTCAATTGTGCTGGTTCTGCCTACCCCTGCGGTAACACCATGCTGTCAGATTACTGGATTTGCTGAATTCCTGGTAGCCTGTGCCTAGTGTTGGCCGTCAGTTTATCCCCCAGCACCTTGCATAGCACATACCACAAGGTAGGCCATTACTATCAATTTACAGACCATTGAATCAATGTTTTTGAAAAAATACATACCATAGAAACATCTAGAAATTATCTAGAGAATGGAATCCAAAATGGATCTTTAGAAAGAGTAATTTCAAATTAATTTCAGTTTCTTTTGGGGCCAAGACTTAGTTTCGCACACAGTTCACGGCCTTTCCTTGCTTTTTCACCTGTAGTCTGCCTTTGGCCGTTTCACTGCTTATTATTCAAGGACCAGAGAGAAAAGGAGAGAGGGTATAATTCAGATCAGTTAATTAAGCTGTTCCAGGAGCAGCTCTGAGAAAGGTTGGCCGTGGTGGGTGAAATCAGTGGTTAACTGCAAGTTGGGGGTTCTACTTCATACGCCTGAACCACGGGAACTAACCTCTGAAGCAGATGTGTATTTCGAATGCTCACTTCAGCTTCAGATATGTGCCTTTGCATTGGAGTACACCAATGCCTAGGTTTTTGGTTTCCAGAATTTGGCCAGTATACCAACAGAAGTCGCGTGGTCCCTTTCTCTAGGGTAATTCCATGGTCCTAAGGAAAGAATTTAACAGTTTATTTTCTGAAACTGGTTCAAGGCACATTCCTTACATGAAAAAAAATTCAATCAAGAATAATATTACTTACATTTTGGGGCAGGATTTTAATACAGAATTTCCATCTGTGATATATTTAAATTCGAGGCCTCAGGCAACAAATTCAGAACAGTGCATCCCTTACCCTTTATTAAATGCAAAATAAATAGCCCCCTCTGGGGGTGGGGGGCTCCCCCATACGTCCTCGCTCCTGCTAAAATAGAAGCTTTGCTTCCGCCATGCCCGGAGTCATACATACTACTCCCTTTCCCCCCTCCTCACACAGCAAACTCCGCTATCTACATCTAGACGTCTGTCGTAACTTTTAATTACCCCAGTGATTTTGTAAGGGCTCCTATCTACTGGGAAAGAATGGCGAGCTGTCCAAAAGGAGGCCTGCAGTCAGCCACTATGGAAATAGAAGCCCATCTTGATGCAGTTTTGACGCCTTCACAAAGACTGGTTTTGCCATTAGCACCGCTCAGCCATCTTGACCGAGCACGTTAGGAGGGAAGCCCTCGACCTAATGTGACTGCCACGCTACTTGAACTTGACGTGCATACCCCAGCATCCCCCCGCCGCAGAGGCCTAACGTGGGCGAGCTGTCAGCGAGGACCCACACTCGGCAAGCGCCGAGCACACGCAAGTTTCACACGAGGGTTTTATTGTGCATTCTTCCAGCCCTAAGAGGGGGCGCGAGGGGTGGGGGTCTGCCCTCCGTGAAACTTTTCTTATTTTTTTTTTTTCACCTGACCTGTAGCACGGATTTCGCCTGTCGGCAGCGTTTATGCCCAACGCAAGGCCCACCGTTTCATGGCTGAAGGCATGCAATGGAACAGCAGCACATGGTGGCTCGGCTGCTCTGCGAATTGCCTTCAAAAAAAAGTAAAGTGAAAAAAAAAAATAGACAAAGAAATCTGTAACCTTAGCAGGCTCTCGTACGTGTTTGGACGGTGCCGGAGCCGGCGCGGAGCCGGGGACACGGATACGGAAAAGATGCACCTGAAACAGGATCTGCGGGCAGCCGCATTCGCCCAGCGGCTCGCTCGCTGCCTTCCAGCGGCTCGGGCGCAGCAGCAGTAGCAGCGAAGCCAGAGCGAGCCTCCCCGGCGGCGGCGGCGGCGGCGGCGGCGGCGGCACCGGCACCAGCGCAGTTTCCCCTCTCCCCAGCCCTGACTCTACGCGCACATGCGCACTGCGCCCGCAGCCCTGGACCATTTGTCAGGACTACCCGTGAGACGGAGAAAAAAAAAAAGAGAGAATTTGGGGGTAAGAAGCGGTGGATCGGAGCTAATCTCTAATTGATCTGAAGGTGCGCCCGCGCCCAAGGCAGTCATTGATTTTTCTGGGTGAGGATGAAAGTTGAGAGCCCTGGAGAGGGGAGGAAGCGCACCCTCGCCTTGTGAAGCAGATCAGGGGAAGGGAAGGGCAGAAGGGGTTTCTCCCCCACTTCTCTGCGCCTCTGGGAAAGAGGAGAAAACTTAATCCCGGGGAAAAAAAGTGGGCAAGTGACTCGGAAAGGGCTGGAGGGGGAGTCTCTGGGCATCTCCCTCTCAAGTAGTGAGTGCGAGTGCGAAAGAGGAACAAAAGAGAGAGAAAAGAGAAAGGAAAAAATGGGGGGAGGAGAGACTTGTATTTTTTCCTTTGCGCGCACACGGGGAAGGGTGTGGGGGCCGTGCGGAAGGCAGCCGGGCGCGGCGGCCGCTCGCCTCCTCGCCGGCGCGCAGGCGGCGGGATGCGTGTGTGGCCCCCTCCCCCGCGCCCCCCCCAGCTTGTCACTTGGGTCGCTTTCATGACACCGGGCGCGGGGTGGGGGAGCGCGGCGGCGGCGGCGGCGGCGGCGGCGCCGGGGCTCCGCCGGGGTGCGTGTCCGGGTGGGCGCCGCCGCCGCCGCCGCAGCTCGGGCGGCGAGCGCGGCCGCCGAGGCAGGGGGGCGCCGGCGGGGAAAGGGCGGGGGTGGGGGCGCGGGGGCGGCCGGGGCCGCGGATCGGTGCGGCGGGAGGGCGCGAGCCCCGCGCGCCGCCCCTGCGGGCCCCTCCGCCCGTGTGGCCTTTGTGCCGGGCGCGCACCGGGGAGCGAGCGAGCGAGCGGGCGAGCGCGAGAAGTACAAGTACGGGCGGCCGAGGCAGTGGGAAAAGAGGCCGGGCCACTTTCCGCCCGCTCGGGCTGCGGAGAACGGACCGGTTGAATGTGCAGGCGCGCCTGCCGGCGTGTGCCGGTGCGCGGCCGAGAGGCCTCCGCGGCTCCCACCGCGCACACGCGCACCCACACGCACGCACACCCGCGCGGGTCCGCGCGGGGCTCGGCGGCCGAGAGTTTGCGTTCGCGTCCTCGCCGCCGCCTCCCCCTTCCCTAGCGAGTGTGTGAGAATTTCATATAGATCAGCTCCAATTTCCGCCATTTTGGGAAAGTTGCACAAAAATAAACCCTCCGGTTTTATTTCTGCCCGCGGCAGGAAAGTGCTTCGGGAAGCGAGGCGGCGCGGGCCCGCGGCGGCCGTCCGCGCGGGGGAGGGCGCGGGCCGCGGGCCGGGCCGGGCGCCGGGAGCCCGCGCCGTCGCGGCGTTCGCCCCGCGCCGCGCCGTGCCGCGCCGGGCTGGGTGCGGGCGCGAGGCGGCGGCGGCGGCGGCGGCCGCGCCGGGGCGGCGGGCTGGAGTAGTGGTAGTGGTGGCGGCGGCGGCGGCGGCGGGGAAGCGCGGGGCTGCTTTTCCTGCAACTTGTTTACGCCTGCCTTATACTGGGGAGGAGCGGAGGGTCGGGCGCCGCGTGCGGGCGCCGTTCCGGAATAATGGGCTGTGCACACTCGCGTCCTGGGCCCGGCGGGCCGTCCTCGCGCCGCTGCGGCGGGCGGGGGAAGTAGAGGCCGGCGGGGGTGGGGATCGGGAAGCGCAGGAGCGGAGGCATCCGCCGCGCGCCCCGCGAGCTGGGGAGGCGGGAGGAAAACTTGAGAGCCCCGTCAGGGGAGGGGGCGCGGGCGGGGGAGGGTGCAACTTTAGGACTGGTGGTAAAACTTTAATTACCTTTAAAGAAAAAAAAAAAAAAGGCCCTTGACCCCCCCCCCCCCCCCGCCCGCCCGCCTGCCTCAGCTCCAGCCCCAGCCCCCACCCCCGGCCCTCGGCTCCGAGATCGGCCCACGGCGCGACCGTGAGAGAAAGTTGAAAGGCGGGCGGCTTCCTGCCCGGCGGCCCCGCGCGGGGCGGGGGCGTCCGTCTGTCCGTCTGCGCTCGCTCGCCGAAGCGGGTGACGGCCGCCGTCCCGGCGCGCGTGGACCGTGGCCCTGGCCCCACCCTTCCACGGGCAGGCTGAGGTAAACGTCGCCTCGGCTTCCCCCTCGGTGTCTCTGCCGCCGCCACCCCGCTTCCTTTTCCTCCCCCTCCCCGCCGGTTTTTCGGAGGGGACCCGAAAAACGGAGTCTCTTTCCTTATGCAACTTCCTCGGGCGCCCTGGCGCGGCCCTTCCCCCCGCTCCCGCATCCCTCGGCCCGCGCCGCGACCGCCGCGGGGGCCCCCGCCGGAACCCGTGCGCCCGCACCCATTCCAAGTGCACGGAAACCAAAATAGGTGTCGGAGCGTTGTGAGTTAGGGGAGAGCGAGCTGAGAAATAAGAATTGGGGGTGGTGGGGGGGAGGGTTGGGGCTTGTGGGGGGGGGCGGCGTTGGCCGGGGCCAGTGCGTCGGGTTCTTGCTTCGATTTCCCTAGAGTGTTGCTTTCTGGGGTCTCGACGGGTTTTGGGGGAGCCCGAGAGCCTCTGTGCTGGCTCTTTCGGTCGCGTGGATTTTTGCGCAAGTTTTCAGAAAAACACTGACTCGGGTAGAGAGCATTTCTCCGGAAAGTTTCAAGTGCAGCAAAATAGCGAACGTGCAAAACTGGCCAAGGGGAGACCTCTAGTGGTTAACGGCGTCTTAAGTTCGCGAGGCCGAGAGCAAAGTTTGGCCTTTACTTGTAGCTACGTAGCCCGTTCCGACGGGAACGTCGTGAGAGGACCTGAGCCGGCGGCCAGACGGGGTGCGAGACGATGCTGACTGGGCATGGGAGGCTGAGCGCAGGGCGCGGGGCCGTGAGCGCCGCGCGCTCGGGCTCCGCATCTTCCTCCCGTCGTGGAGAAACGCGCTTCTCCCTTTCATCCAGGGATCCCAGAGGGCTCGCTCCTTGCCTAAGAAGCCAGAGTTTGTAGCTATCCCTGCCCGTGCAGCTCTTGGCTCGGTTTTACATCACGAGTCACAGCAGATAACTTAGTAGTGAACGTTAGGAAAAGCACGAAGTGAGATGTGCGTTTTTGAAACTCTGAAGACGTGAAAAAAAAAAAAAGACCTTTGGTGGAGATGTTTTCTTTGACACCAGCTGGCCATTTTTATTCCCTGGTAAATCATTTAAGGCTAGTATTTACTGTTTGGTTTCTCAGCTGTATAGTTACCTACAAGTCATAAAATCAGCACTGCCTTTTAAATCCTGGAGTGTAATTTTGTTTCACTGGGTAACTAACTGTTTCTGGATACTTTGTATCTTTTGCGATTTAAGACAGTGAAATGTATGGCCAAGGACCCCTCCCTCTTCGTCAGTGTGTTCATTTCTGTCAAGTTTCCTTCGTTTTAAAGATAAGAGCAATGAGGGAAAAGCAGGCTGAGCCGCTTGACCCCTCTGTAAGTTTCACCTGTCTGTGATGCAATGATACTTAATTGGCTGGATCTAGGGAATGGGAATGACATGAATGATTAATGTCCGTTTTACCTCATGTGGTTTATTTTAATACACAGTCGTGTGGTGTGAAATTGTGCACAAGTCAGTGATTTCAGAATGTAAACTTATTAATTGGAGAGTGGAAGGCTTCTTCTTGATGAAAGTTCTTTGATTTTACCTTTCTTCTCTTTAAATCAATACTAGACCCTCAGGAGAAGTCTCGGGGTTGCACGACGATTGTGAAAACCGCCCAACAGTTCTGTTTTTCTTGACTATCACGAGGTAAGAGTCTCTTGTTAAACAAATTGCTTGATATACTGGTAGGTGTTTAGAGCTGCATTTGGAAATCAGGAAGCAGAATGGGACAGGGTGGGCAGAAAAATGCATTTTGTGGAGTTGCTTTGAATGCATGAATATATCAACACTAAATGTGATCGTGCATTGAATGAAACATTAGAAAAAGTCATGAGATTGTACTGGACAATAATATTTTAGCTGGATTACTTTTCAGATTTCTAATTAGCATTTTAACACCTGTTTTCTACTGAAAGTAAATTCTTTTATTCTATGGAATTGAAATAGTGGAAAATCTGGAACAAAACATTGTAAATTAATATAACTATTATATATAAATGTATATAGTATTATGGAAGATTCTAGAACTTCAAACGTCTGCAGGATCCAGGAGTAAAATTTTGCGAATAACATTTGCAGTAGAGTGTTGGAATGCTCAAGAAACTTAAGTCTTATATATTAAATCCAAAGTGGACTGACTTGTGCTAAATATTATGAAATAGGGTTAGACTTAGATGTCAGTGTGTTAGCATAGACTTGTCAACTTTTGGATGGATCTCTACAGGGCATCCAGCTGTTGTCCAATGAGGCCTTTTAATAATTTTGGAGGATACTGGCTTATCTACAGTAACTCAGGACCTACATGTAGGGCAGAGATCGTTCCTAGGCAGAGAGGTAGTCATCTATGGGGTAGGACGTCTAAGTACGTTTGTGCCATTCTAATACTTTCTATGAGTTTTATCTTTTTTGTAATTGCCCCCCCCCCTTAATCTTTCCCTCTCCTTTTCTGATTGTTTTCCTGCCTTCTCTGTCTTGACTACTCAAGGAATTGCTAGTACTTGTGGGCAAAAATGAAAGCAAACACACATTAGCTTTTCCTTTTATGAGCAGGACCAGTTGTCCTTATTGGACTAGATGTACTCTAAAAGTAAAACTGAATAGTGACAAATATAAAAATGCTTGCTAACAGGAGTTTAGTGTCATTTTTTGCTTGTGGGTCCTGTTGATTAGTGTGATTAGTGACATAAATAGATCCGGCCCATGTGAATATTATAGCACAGACAATGGGGCAAGCACAGCTAGGAGATTATGCAGATAAAAGCAGGGTTTCATGCAGAGTATACGTGTTTTCTGGGTTTCATATTTAGGCATGCTGAGTTGAAGACAATGCTTATTTTTCTTCATCTGGGGAGTCATTGTGGCTGTGGGGAGAATGCTAGAATAGAGATCAGAAGACTGAATTTAGTCACTAAATAATATATCATCTTGCGTGAGTCATTTTACCTCCTGCAGCCTAGGTTTACCCATCTGGAAAATGGGAACAACAATAGTTGCCTTGCTTCCTTAAAAAATGGAATAAAATAAAATTTTGAGAACTATAAAAAGTTATTCAGATGTGTGATGGTCATATTACCATTTTACCTTCACCACGCCTTGTGAAAGGCAGGAAGTGGGTTGTCTCAGGCAGAGTATAGTGGTTTAATTCCTGGCTGAAATTTTTAGGTTACTCTCTGGAGGGTGTAGTATATTGACTGTCAAAATTCTTCCAGCAGTATTTCTTTTCTTTTCTTTTTTTAAAAGTACTTTATCTTTGATACTGTTGGCTCCTTGAGGGAAGGGACCATGTTCTAGCATGGTGCTGAATACAAAACCCAAAACTGATTTGTCCCAGCCCAGTCATTTAATGAGTAGAAGGAGTAAGTGAAAGAAATATTTGAAAATGATGCCTGATTGTGGAAATGGTAGGGTGATAAAAGCAGAAGAGTTGCTGTGAGGGGAATTGATGGACTGTAATTAATATTTGAGTTGCAGGAGTCTGCTGGGAGAAGAGGATAAGAAAATAGGTAACTAGGGTAGTGATGACTTAATCTAACTGTAGGGCCAGATGGTGAGTCCTGTGAGTGACTGGATTTAAGACAAGGTCCATGTAGGAATTTCCCTCCCTGCTTTCTAGACCCCTTTCCTACTAGATTGTAACTAAAATTTAGATAGAAAAAAAACTACAAGTGTTAACTGTCATTCTTTTCCATTTGATGACACTGAACTGGGCAAATATACTCTGACCAGTTTTGGTTTTATTTCATCTCTCTTCTTTTGTAGATTATCCAAACAATGGCCTAAGAATCCAAAAATTCAATAGAAGAAAGAAATATATGTTCTGTTAAATTAGTTCCCGAGGATTTGAGAGTTGATTTTTAAGTAATTTTGAGTGGTTTGTTTGGTACTTTATTTTTAAGCATTTACATACCTTTTGAGCCAACATGACTTATGGAAGATGCAGTTAGGATGGGAAATTGACAACAGAAATGACTTTATGTGGTCTGGGACAAGGTACCCATGAGATACCAAGGATGGGTGGGTAATCCTTTCAGCTGGGTTTCTACGAGTTACTTAGTGAGTTTTTATTGAGCTCTTAAAGTGTTGAACACTCAGAGAATAGGTCTTTGCCCTTGAAGAGTTCACTAGCTCCTTACTGCAGAAGTAGACAACTCTGAGCTCTGCTGATAATCGTATAACAATTGCACATTGTACCAGTAGAAAAGAGTAAGGACTCTCTCCAGCCATCTTGGCTCAGGGAGCCAGGAAATGTGGATTTCTATTAACCAGCACAGGACTGTAGCGTGTAATCTTGTACATAAAGCATAACACATTTCATTCTGTTTTCAACATGTTACCTTCAGAAATGAGTAAGAAGCTCTTGATCTACTGTCTAGGAATGCCTGGATTGTGTTTGTTGCCAGGGTGATGGATTTGGGCTGATTCTGTCTTTCTGTGACCAGTGTGTTCCCAAGGTGGCTTTCTGGTGAAGAGCTACTCTATACTGTTTCTGCTGTTACTGTTGAGGGACCCCCTTTTTATAAGTTTTTGAGGTTATTACTATATGGTTGAAGACAATGCATTTGCTTTCTTTGAAAGATTTGTTTTATGTATTTAAAAGAGAGTAACACAGTGAAGGAGACATACACACAGAGACAGACAGACTATCTGCTGATTCACTCCTTAAATGACCACTGGAGCTGAGGCTAGACCAGACTGGAGCCAAGAGCCTGGAATTCCATTTGGGTCTGTGATGTGAGTGGTGAGGGCCCAAGTATTTGGACCATCTTCCATTGCTTTCCTAGGTGCATTACCAGTAAGCTGTATTGGAAATGGAGCAGCCGGTATTTGAACAGATGCTCTTATGAGATACAGATGTCGCAGGCAGCTGTTTAGCACCACAATGCTAGCCCCAAGATACTGCATTTAAAGAGAAGTATTTATATGTTCATATGAGGTACTGCAAAAAGTTCATAGGAAGTGACATTAGAAGATAAGTTTATTTTGGTGCAAAAATGCTTTGAGTCTATTAATTATTTTTTCATAAGTATACATTTTCTATGAACCATTTGGGAAGAGCCTTCATTTTTTTTTTCATCAAAATAAGCTTATCTTTTAATTTCCTTCTCCAAAGACTTTTAAAAATGTCTCACTTTCTCTGTGTGTTGTATGTTTATAAATGATGTCTTGAAATTTAGGATATCTGTAGAAGTTTATTTTTTTCCACTTTTTTAAAGGTTTTATTTATTTATTTGAAAGAGTAACAGAGAGGCAGACATGGAAGCAGAGAGAGAGAAAGAGAGCGAGGTCTTCCATCTACTGGTTCACTCCCCAAATGGTCACAATGCCTGGAGCTGGGCCAGACTAAAGCCAGGAGCCAGGAACTTCTTCCTGTTCTCCCATGTGGGTGCAGGGGCCCAAGCACTTGAGCCATCCTCCACTGCTTTCCCATGCACAGTGGTGGGGAGCTGGATTGGAAGTAGAGCAGCTGGAACTCAAACCAGTGCCCATATGTAGGCAGCAGCAGCTTTATACCCTCTATGCCACAGAACTGGCCCCAAAAGTTGTATTTTGTGGTGGGCTTCATTATCCGGTGGGAATAGTCTCAGGTTATATCTTCACCGTATTAAATTATGTTACTGATGTGTGTGGATAGGAATCAATAGTGGGAAATTATGACCTAGTTTGTATTGAGTGCAGTAGCTATACAACAAGTGGATGAGGGGAAACACCAGGAATGAATGTGCTTGAAATATAAGTTTGATTTATGATGTGAAATTGAGAAAGACAGTTAGGAAATCCCCATGCAGGAGACTGGATAATTTGGAGGAGAGAACAGACTTCTGAAAGAAACTTGAATAGAGTTGGGTGTCCTAGACAATGGAACTTTTTTTTTTTTTAAAGATTTGTTCATTTATTTTGAAAGGCAAAGTGTGGGAGGGAGGGAGGGACAGAGAGAGAGAGAGAGAGAGAGAGAGAGATCTTCCATCCATGGTTCACTTCCCTAGTGACTCCAAGAGACAAGGCTGAGCCAGACTGAAGCCAAAAACTGGAACTCCATCCACATGGGTGGCAGGGGCCCCATCTGCTACCTTCACAGGCACATTAGCAGGGAGCTCGATTGGAAGCAGAACATCTGCCACCCCAACCAGAGTTCTGATATGGGATCCTGGTATTGCAACAGTGGCTTAACCCTTTGTACCACAAGGACTGGCACCAGAACTACTACTTTTTTTTTTTTTTTTAAGATTTATTTTATTTATTTTTTTTATTTATTTTTTTTATTTGAAAGGCAGAGCTACAGAGAGGCAGAAGCAGAGAGAGAGAGAGAGAGAGGAGAGAGAGAGAGGAAGGGAGGGAGGGAGGGAGAGGGAGAGTGAAAGGGAGAGGGAGAGAGAGAGAGAGAGAGAGAGAGAGGTCTTCCATCCACTGGTTCACTCCCCAGTTGGCTGCAACAACCAGAGCTCAGCCAATCCGAAGCTGGGAGCCAGGAACTTACTCTGGGTCTCCCATGCAGGTGCAGGGGCCCAAGGGCTTGAGCCATCCTCCACTGTTCTCCCAGGCCATAGCAGAGAGCAGCTGGGACTTGAACCGGCAGCCATATGGGATGCCAGTGCTACAGGTGACAGCTTTACCTGCTATGCTACAGTGCTGGTCTCCAGAACTAGTTC